CTAGAACAATGATTTGAACAAACACTCCATATTTTGAATGTTTCTGCTAGGTAAGTATCCAAACTTTGAATGTCTGCAACTGTTTACATGAGATTTAAGGACACCTTACAACAATACAAAGAATACAATTGATGTCCTGGGCATTTCTAGCTCTCTATGATACTATACCATAATAACAGTCATAATGACATTTCCCTATATATTGCCAACATGTCAGACATCAGACACTGCTATTAGGGGCCAGGTTGAGATCTCATTAAGCTTTTAAGAGGACCTTGGTATTCATTTATGATACTTAGGGCAGAAATTTAATTTTTGGTGTTTTTATCTGATTCTCTTTCATTAGCAAAATAAATATGCAGTTGATTTGTTAAAGAAAAAAACTGTTTTAATTGGCATTGCATGGTTTCTTTAAACAATAAATGGATTTGAATGCAGACTAAATATACAGGTCATATTTTGCATCATTTCAATGGCTATCATTTCATGGTAGACATAGAAAAAAGATCTATTTTGCTACTACAGACAGTATCTACCCTAAGGTATTGAGTTACCACGCAATGATGCATATTTCCAAGGCTTTCAGCTTTACTAAACATCTGCTTTTCACAACCACATTTTAAAGGGAAAATCTAAGAGACAGAAAAAACATACAAAATCCCCAGGACAGGAAAAAATTTCCTTCTCATCTCTTCCATAAACCAGCCCCAGATTCCAAATTGAAACCACTGATCACGTGAAAACATTTTAAATATTGCTTTGTACCAGTCTCTTTTGTGAAGCATAACTCAGGGGTGAAGGTGAGTGTGGTTTTGAGAACATTTTGCAACAATCAGTGTTTCCAAAACAGAACAGAGGGTGGCCAAAGGGATCAGACAAACAAAACTCTTCTCCCTCTCTTCAAGGATCAAGCAAATCTGCTTTTTGTTTCCAATGTACACATTGAGTTCTCAGGCTCCCGCAATGTATGGTGGTAGAGGAAGTGGAGTCACCCAGACAGAAAAGTCTGCAGACAAAACACTAGCTGTCAATGGAGTGAGAGATGCCACAGCCAGCCTACTCTTCCTCAGAGTAAACAGAAATGGCTCACTTAACAAAAGTCAAGCCACTTGCCCCCTCTCCTTTTCACAGGTTGTGAAAATACTTTCCTGAAAAGTGGGGTACACTTCCTAATCCATGCTGTGAGTGATTCTCGTAGACGTCAGATCTTAACATAAGTCTCTTTCAGGAGGATGTAACAAGAACCCTGCCTGGTTTATCAGATATATCTTTGTGAAAATATTTCCTCTGCCTTCAAAGTTCTTGAGTAACTTATACTAAAAAGTTTATCATGTTTTATATGTACTAGAAATTTCATTGAACAATACAAAGTCTTATTTTTAGTGATTTGAGACGGATACATTCAATATAAAATCAGAGTAACATCCTATTATATGTTTACTTCATATTTGATTAGAAATATAATTATATTTAAATGTAATGCTGTAACAGTTATATAGTTATATCCGTTGTAGGATAATGATCCCAAAACAAAAGGATAAAGAGTTATGGAATTACAGGATAATTTTTAACCTAAAAATAGTTTGGTGGCCTTCAATTTCAGATTCTGCAATTTACCAGAAGAGGGAAAAGATGTTTCCTAAGGGCCTCAGGGATTCCTTCTATGTCATCAATGTCCCCTTTTCTACAGGGACATTTCAATGAATATGCAAACATGTTCTACAACCCTCCCACTATTTAAAAAATAATGACATCCTCAGCCCTTATATTTCCCATTAAGTACCACCATATTCATATACTACCTTCAGAGCAAAACCCACAGAGAGAGTTGTCTATAGAGTTTGTCATTACTTTCTCATCTCAAAAATCCTTCCTCCAGCCACTGCACTCAGATATCCATTTCCTACCATGCTGTGAAGGCTGCTGTTGCCATATTCTCAATGATCTTCACATTGCCATTACCTACTTTTGATCTGTGATCTATGTAAGGGAAAATTGGATATTCACTAAATATCAAAAAGATTGTAAATATCTTTTTCATTAACACACTTAGCCTGCTATTTGTGTGATAAAATTAGTTTAAAAATTTATAAGGGGTTTACTATTTATTGAACACTGTCAGACTCCAAAAGAATACTAAAAATCATTTTCCCAAATAAGATTTCTTTCTACTTAAAAATAAAATATGGACAAAAATGAATAATATATGCATGCTCAAGAGAATAAAGAACTAAAGGGAAGTACAGAGGAAGCCAAGTAGCTTAGGAAATCTTTCTGAAGTAGTCAAATTTTAAGCCAGGGTTAGAAGAAGATAGTCAAAGGGGAATAAATAAACTTCTTTACTAAACATTAAATTCCAAATACCGTACTATGATATTTTCATTCCATTAACTCCCATATTTTCTTCAAGACCCAGCTTATACAAAGACAATCTTTTTTGTCAGTTCTTCCCTGTCCCATACCTGAAGCATTCTATATTGTTCCACTTTGTACAAGGCATTATATTCATCAAATAATGAATCTGTCTGTCCCACGCGATTGTGAGCACTTCTTCCTCTTTCTACCTACAGTGACTACTTAGTGGAAACTGATGTTTAGCAACTCTCCAACAATTTGTTTCTGTATGACTCGATGCATACAACAACCCTGAGAAGAAAGTACTGCCGTTATTTATATTATGGAAGAGAAAACAGAGCATCCTAGAAGTTAGAGTATCCCTAACCATTAAGAAGCAAAACAACAACAACAACAACAAAACATACAGACACAAAAACAAAGATACAAAAAAACAACAACAACAAAAATAGCTGGGCATGGTGGTGCATACCTATAGTACTAGCTGCTCTAGAGACTGAGGTGGGAGGATTGCTTGAGGCCAGGAGTTGGAGACTGCTGTGAGCTATGATCACACAAATGTACTCCAGTCTGGGTGACAGAGTGAGACCCCATCTCTAAAAATAAAAAATAAAAATATAAGCAGAGCTCAAACTCTCCAGGCCTTACGAAATGAAGCCCATGCCTGTTATACTATCCTATGTTGCCTTTTCAGCAAGTATTGCTGGAAAATAGCAGGTAACTGATTCCAGGGATATAGGCAAGAATTTGTAAATGACATGAGAAACAGAAATCAGATTGGCTTATTTAAAGCACGGCAACCCTACTGAGAAATAATGGAAATTATTGCTGCTTCTCACATTTTACCATAAATGTTCTCTTTCTCTTCTCTCTCTCTGCCTGCTTTCTGGGTGACTTCAATGACCTCCTTAAATTTAATTGTCATCTGCATACTGATGATTTCAAAATACATATCTCTAGTCTAGATTGCCCTTGTGAAGCTCTGAACCACATATCCATCTGCCTACTAGACATCTCTCTTAATGTTCCTACAGGCCACGTAACCTGACAGAGAAGCTTAAAGATCTCCATATATTTTTAAAACTGTCACATTTTAAGAATCAGACTGTATCAGTGTATCACTGAGGAAATTACTGGGATGGATGATAGAAGTTATGGGAATCAGTTTTGTTTCCATTACTATACAATGAGATACTTAATACGGCAAAAAAAATCCCACCCTAATTGTCCTCTCGCTGAACTTTCAGGACATCTCATGCTCAGCTATGTTGTCTAATCACATCCTATTACTTGTCTTCCCTGACCATGTCCCATACTTTTATCCTTTGATGTTCCTGCCATGTTGTCTACACAGATAATACACCTGCTCATCCTCATGCTGTCAAAGTCCAGCCAGGAAAACAGAAACTACCATGGGTATTGCAATACAACACTGTAATATAGAGATTGGCTCACACATGCTCTGAAGTCCTAAAAAAAAGAAAAGCCAAAAGGTACTAAAACTCAAAACAGATAACTGCAGGAAACAGTTCCACTAGGACTAAGGGAATAAAATGATGGAGATTGAGAATACAGACCCTGGGAGTTTGAGGTAGGGGCTCATAGAGTTCATGATCAGGCCTTTGAAAAGAGGATGACACCTGGTGGCTGGGAACCCAGGGAGCTGAGATGGTGGACCCTGTGGAGGTGGAGGACATATCTAAGAGGAGCAGGTATCACTCAGCCACTGCTAGTACCTCTGAAGGAGCATAATGTGATTGGTGCTCAAGTCCAGAAAGAAACAAGAGGTTGCAATGTGTGCTTATTCGGCTTGTGTTTCAAACAGAGGTCTGTCTGAAACCAGTGCCTGATGCTCATCCTTACATAGCACCACATTTCCAAGTCCTTGTTTTTCTTATTTGTATTTTATTCTACACAGTTGCCAAAATACCCTCCCTAATAACAAAACCGTAATTATATTGCGCCCTTTCCTAAATCTCTATAATCATTTCCTGTAGACTAAAGTTTTAAATATATACTCCTCTCCCTTGTGTCAATGGCATTCTAGAATTTTCTCACTTTTCTTCACTGCTTCCCTAAATGCCTTATTTGCCCCCATTGAACCCCATTCTTCCTTGAAAATGCAGCAGATTTTTTTTTTATCTTCAATATCTTATAGACCACAAATCTCAGCCTCGTATGATCCCTGAGTTTATTTTCAAAAAATAATGATACATATATGCAAAAACCACCTTGTCTTTAATTTTGTAGCAGCCACAACCAGCATGAATGAAATAGCTGCTGCACAATTAAAATTACCGAGTGTTATTGAAAATTAAGAAGCCTAATTTTAGCCAGTTAAAACTTAAGTGACAACTTAATGTGTAACTAAGACTGAAAGAATTTAATACTGTAAATGTAAAATTTTTACACCTTTTCTGATTTTCACGTACATGGTAGACTGGTTAAAAGGATGAGTTCTAAATTTTCAGCAATTCAACAACTAAGATTCTGATTTGGGGCCTCGTGCAGACACACTCAGTGGAGGAAGAGTTAACCGCATGTGAGTTGCAGCATTTCAGAAAATTCTAAAGCAATATTTTTCCTTTTTTGCTCTTTGAGTTGCAAAACTAGCTTTCAACAGGAAAAGAAAATTTGCTACTTACCCTTGGAAGGTGTCTTTTCTATGTGTGAAAATACTAAGGCGAAGATGTCAAATATTTCACATTTGCTTGAGCCTGTGAAATCTAAAGAGATGTGAGATTTTCTTGTTATTCAGATGATTCAGATTGGAGGTATAGGAGCTTCACCTGCCCATGTGGATCTGCTGGAGCTGCCCTATCATTTTATTTTTAAAAGGCAAATATTAAAGATTTTGCTCTTCTCTTTAAGATATAAAATTACTATTATTTCCCTTTATGTAGAAAAAAATAAAGGCCATCCTGGAACTATGAATTTGTGATGAAAACAGCAAATCTTATAAGACATTTAATTGCTTAGAGCACTTAAAATCCAATTTCTTTGTATCGGTTCCAGACCAACTTCTGCACAATGAGTCTCTAAACACAAGTACTCTTTTTTTTTGGCTAGGAATTTGCCTACATATTCAAATTATGTCAACCTGTAATTCATTCAACCCCACATTCATTCCTTCACTCATTTAACCTATCGTCAGTGCTTACCTGCCACCTGCTCTATATTAATGCGTAATCCCTTGTGTTGTTTCTGGAACTCTTCCAATAGTTATGGATCATGGTGACAGTACACCACTCCATACACAGGCTGAGCACTTGTTCGCAGTGATGAGCTACATATGTTGGCCAATACCGTCACAGTTTGATGCTTCGGTTCCTCCTGTACCCTTGAGGAGATGGCATCTGGTCCAAATTTTGGGTCCTTTTGAAGATCCATGATCTGGGTAACTGTCATCTAGATAGCAAACACACTTGACCAGTCAATTAAGTATTCCAAAATCTAAGAAGTTTATGTAGGTGAGGATAATTAGTCATAAAAATAAACTCAGTATAATAAGCCTTAGGAAGTGGAACCTAGCCAGGATCTCATCTAATAAAAATAAATTAAGTTGAATTTTAAATTTTTAGAGGTTCAAAACAATCATTTACATAAAACTTTACTCAAGTTTGGGATTATGTTTTAATAATGTCTATAAAAGCAATGTTGACTTCACATTGTATTGAAACTTTTGCACTTTGAAGAAATCGGCTATTTAAAACACTAAGTAAGTAGCTCTCAATTTTCTAAGCCAGCTTATGCCTTCCCCACAGTCATAGTCAAAATGTATTCCTTCTCTGAGGACAAGTGGAGCTTCCACCTTGGGAACATTCACCTCTCCTTCCCTGCAGTCACTTGTTTTACCATAAGATATAGTAAAGTTAACATTTTTTTTTTAGATCTTCATAGTAACAGTACTATTGTTTGTTTATTATTTACAAAGAGAGAAAGGCATATTTTACTTTCCTTTTCGAAACTTATTCTTATTCTACATATGATTATTTTAGACATAGTTTCAAAACACTTAAATAAAGCTAAATTACAAAAACAGAAAGGAGTATATACTTTCCTAACTTTCTAAACAAGATCTTTTGTATATGAATAATAAGTTTGAGTACAAGTTTCAAGATGTTTATTTTTATTTGTCCTACCATTGAGAGATTGTATAACATACAAAATAAATACTGACAATGAGAACTGTCAATATTTTTTGGAGTTGGAATCAGATGTTTTAGTCATAGTGTAGATGCTTGTTTTGTGTTATAAATTTGTTCTTTTAGAATAAATTTATTACTTTAAATACTTTAAATAATTAAGATACTTTTAATATGAGAACTAATTTGGACATGTAGAACTTGACTTAAAAGCAGAATGCCTCTACAGATATTAATAGTGCTACTACGTAGGCGACAATTCTGGATTTTTGATGGAAAAATATAAAATAAGCTCCTTTGTGTCCATCTTAAATAGTCAAAATCAAATAATATAAAATATTTTAGATTAATTAAAGCAAATTATATTCAGAATTATAATTCCCAAATTATATACCATAGTATAAAATATTTACCATATAGAGTAAATAACATCAACCTGGGAAAAGAAATAGACTAAAAGATGAGACAATAAGAAGAAACCAGCTATTAGTCTAATTTGTAATGTAAGATGAAAAGCTTTATACCTGAAAATTACAATAACATCAAGTTAAGAATCAATTCCTTATCCAACTGAACATACTGACAGGAAAAATGAAGTAAGCAATTAGTTGAATATGAGAAACAGAAATAATGAAAGTACTGTTTTAAGTAACTATCAGACAATGTCAAACTGAATATAGGACCTGTCACTTCTCTTGTTTCAAAATGAGTTTTAGGACAGGAGCAAGATGGCCAAATAGGAACAGCTCCAGTCTCCAACTCCCAGCGCGAGCGACACACAAGACAGGTGATTTCTGCATTTTCAACTGAGGTACTGGGTTCATCTCACTAGGGAATGCAGGACAATTGGTGCTGGTCAGCTGCTGCAGCCCATCCAGTGAGAGCTGAAGCAGGGCGAGGCATCGCCTCACCTGGAAGTGCAAGGGGGAAGGGAATCCCTTTTCCTAGCCAGGGGAACTGAGACACACAACACCTGGAAAATCGGGTAACTCCCACCGAATACTGCGATTTAAGCAAACGGGCACACCAGGATATTATATCCCACACCTGGCCGGGAGGGACCCATGCCCATGGAACCTCCCTCATTGGTAGCACAGCAGTCTGCGATCTCCCGGCAAGGCAGCAGCAAGGCTGGGGGAGGGGCACCCACCATTGCTGAGGCTTAAGTAGATAAACAAAGTGGCTGGGAAGCTCGAACTGGGTGGAGCTCACAGCAGCTCAAGGAGTCCTGCCTGTCTCTGTAGACTCCAACTCTGGGGACAGGGCACAGCTAAACAACAACAACAACAACAACAAAGCAGCTGAAGCCTCTGCAGACGCAAATGACTCTGTCTGACAGTTTTGAAGAGAGCAGTGGATCTCCCAACACGGAGGGTGAGATCTGAGAATGGACAAACTGCCGGCTCAAGTGGGTCCCTGACCCCTGAGTAGCCTAACTGGGAGACATCTCCCACACCGGGGCAGACCAACACCCCACACCTCACACGATGGAGTACACCCCTGAGAGGAAGCTTCCAAAGCAAGAATCACACAGGTACACTTGCTGTTCAGCAATATTCTATCTTCTGCAGCCTCTGCTGCCGATACCCAGGCAAACAGGGTCTGGAGTGGACCTCAAGCAATCTCCAACAGACCTACAGCTGAGGGTCCTGACTGTTAGAAGGAAAACTAACAAACAGGAAGGACACCCACACCAAAACCCCATTAGTACGTCACCATCATCAAAGACCAGAGGCAGATAAAACCACAAAGATGGGGAAAAAGCAGGGCAGAAAAGCTGGAAATTCAAAAAATAAGAGCGCATCGTCTCCTGCAAAGGAACGCAGCTCATTGCTAGCAACGAATCAAAGCTGGACGGAGAATGACTTTGACGAGATGAGAGAAGAAGGCTCCAGTCCATCAAACCTCACAGAGCTAAAGGAGGAATTACGTACCCAGCGCAAAGAAACTAAAAATCTTGAAAAAAGAGTGGAAGAATTGATAACTAGAATAATTAATGCAGAGAAGGCCATAAACAAACTGACAGAGATGAAAACCGTGACACGAGAAATACGTGACAAATGCACAAGCTTCAGTAACTATCGATACTGAAAAGAGTATCACGATTAGGATCAAGAATAAATGAAGTGAGAGAGAAACCTAAAGAAAAAGAAGAAAATAAAAAAAAGCTGCAAAAGTATGGATATGTAAAAGACAATCTACATCTGATGGGATGCTGAAAGTGAGGGAAAATGGAACCAAGTGGAAAACATCTCAGGAGTACAGAGAATTCCAACTAGTAGAAGGCAACATTCAAATCAGAAATAAAAAACGCACAAAGAACTCTTGAGAAGCAACTCAAGACAAAATGCCAGATTCACAAAGTGAAATGAAAAAAAATCTAAGGAGCAGAGAGAAAGGTGGTACACAAAGGAAGCCATCAACTAACAGCAGATCTCGCAAAACTACAAGCAAAGAGATTGGGCAATATTCAACATTAAAAAAAGAATTTCAACAGAATTTATATACAGCAAACTGTTCATAAGTGAAAGAAAAAATCCTTTACAGATAAGCAAATGTTAGAGATTTGTCACCACCAGCTTACAAGAACCTGAGGAAGCACTAAACATGAAAGAACAACCGTACCAGCCATGCAAAACATGCAAATGTAAAACATGGAGTAGGAAAAAACTGCATCAATTAACGAGCAAAATAACCAGTAATATCATAATGCAGGATCAAGTTCACACATAAAATATTAACCTTAAAGTAAATGGACTAAATGCTCCAATTAAAAACAAGACTGGCAAACTGGATAAAGAGTCAAATGATCAGTTTGCTATATTCAGGAGACCCATCTCACATGCAGATACATACATAGACTCAAAATAAAGGAATGGAGGAAGATCTACCAAGCAAATGGAGAACCAAAAAAAGCAGGTGTTGCAATACTAGTCTCTGATAAAACAGGCTTTAAACCATCAACGATCAAAAGAGACAAAGAAAGCCATTACATAATGGTAAAGGGATCAATTCAACAGGAAGAGCTAACTATCCTAAATATATATGCACCCAAAACAGGAGCGCCCAGATTCATAAAGCAAGTACTTAGAGACTTACAAAGAGACTTAGACTCCCATACAATAATAATGGGAGACTTCAACACCCCACTGTCAACATTAGACAGATCAACGAGACAGAAAGTTAACAAGGATATCCAGGAATTGAACTCATCTCTGCAGCAAGCAGACCTAATAGACATCTATAGAACTCTCCACCCCAAATCAACAGAATATACATTCTACTCAGCACCACATCACACTTATTCCAAAATTGACCACATAATTGGAAGTAAAGCACTCCTCAGCAAATGTACAAGAACAGAAATTATAACAAACTGTCTCTCAGACCACAGTGCAATCAAACTAGAACTCAGGACTAAGAAACTCAATCAAAACCGCTCAACTACATGGAAATGGAATAACCTGCTCCTGAATGACTACTGGGTACATAACAAAATGAAGGCAGAAATAAAGATGTTCTTTGAAACCAATGAGAACAAAGATAAAACATACCAGAATCTCTGGGACACATTTAAAGCAGTGTGTAGAGGGAAATTTATAGCACTAAATGCCCACAAGAGAAAGCTGGAAAGATCTAAAATTGACACTCTAACATCACAATTAAAAGAACTAGAGAAGCAAGAGCAAACACATTCAAAAGCTAGCAGAAGGCAAGAAATAACTAAGATCAGAGCAGAACTGAAGGAGATAGAGACACAAAAAACTCTCCAAAAAATCAATGAATCCAGGAGTAGGTTTTTTGAAAAGATCAACAAAATTGATAGACCTCTAGCCAGACTAATAAAGAAGAAAAGAGAGAAGAATCAAATAGACGCAATAAAAAATGATAAAGGGGATATCACCACCGACCCCACAGAAATACAAACTACCATCAGAGAATACTATAAACACCTCTACGCAAATAAACTAGAAAATCTAGAAGAAATGGATAATTTCCTGGACACTTACACTCTCCCAAGACTAAACCAGGAAGAAGCTGAATTCTTGAATAGACCAATAACAGGCTCTGAAATTGAGGCAATAATTGATAGCCTACCAACAAAAAAAAGTCCAGGACCAGATGGATTCACAGCTGAATTCTACCAGAGGTACAAGGAGGAGCTGGTACCATTCCTTCTGAAACTATTCCAGTCAACAGAAAAAGAGGGAATCCTCCCTAACTCATTTTATGAGGCCAACATCATCCTGATACCAAAGCCTGGCAGAAACACAACAAAAAT